GGAATAGGTGGATTTCTGTAGCTCAGCATGCAGAGCTCTGTAGTCCAGCAGGTAGCCTTCAGGGCTGTAGTCTAGCATTGCTACATTCCAGATGCTTTTTTTTTCTCCTTTTTTTTGGGATCATTTGGGGTCCAGTGCGTTTTTGATGCATTCCAGATGCTTTTTTTCTCCATTTTTGGGGTCATTTGGGATCCAGTGCGTTTTTGATGCGTTCCAGACGCTTTTTTTTTCTCCTTTTTTAAGAATCATTTGAGGTCCAGTGCGTTTTTGATGCATTCCAAATACTTTTTTTCTCAATTTTTGGGATCATTTGGGGTCCAGTGGGTTTTTTGATGCATTCCAGATGCTTTTTTTTTCTCCATTTTTTGGGATCATTTGGGGTTCAGTGCATTTTTGATGCAATCCAGGTGCTTTTTTCTCCTCCTTTTTTGGGATCATTTGGGGTTCAGTGCATTTTTGATGCATTCAAGATGCTTTTTTTTTTCTCCATTTTTGAGATCATTTGGGATCCAGTGCGTTTTTGATGCGTTCCAGACACTTTTTTTTTTTCTCCTTTTTAAGAATCATTTGAGGTCCAGTGCGTTTTTGATGCATTCCAAATACTTTTTTTTTTTTTTTTCTCAATTTTTGGGATCATTTGGGGTCCAGTGGGTTTTTGATGCATTCCAAATACTTTTTTTCTCAATTTTTGGGATCATTTGGGGTCCAGTGGGTTTTTGATGCATTCCAGATGCTTTTTTTCCTCCATTTTTGGGATCATTTGGGGTTCAGTGCATTTTTGATGCAATCCAGGTGCTTTTTTTCCTCCTTTTTTGGGATCATTTGGGGTTCAGTGCATTTTTGATGCATTCAAGATGCTTTTTTTTCTCCATTTTTGAGATCATTTGGGATCCAGTGCGTTTTTGATGCGTTCCAGACGCTTTTTTTTCTCCTTTTTAAGAATCATTTGAGGTCCAGTGCGTTTTTGATGCATTCCAAATACTTTTTTTCTCAATTTTTGGGATCATTTGAGGTCCAGTGCGTTTTTGATGCATTCCAAATACTTTTTTTCTCAATTTTTGGGATCATTTGGGGTCCAGTGCGTTTTTGATGCATTCCAGATGCTTTTTTTCTCCATTTTTGGGATCATTTGGGGTTCAGTGCATTTTTGATGCATTCCAGGTGCTTTTTTCCTCCTTTTTTTGGGATCAATTGGGGTCCAGTGCGGTTTTGATGCATTTTTAATGTGTATTTTGATGCGTTCCAGTGAGTTTCGGTGCGTTTTTGATGCATTTTACTGTCTTCCAGAACAGTTCTGTGCAGGAAAAATGAAGCCAGTTCTACTTTATTTTCTGAAACCGGAACACACTGGAACGGCGAGCACCGATGTGACCCATGCCATTGAAAACGATGCAACCTGCTTTCTGTGCATTTTGGATGCAGTAAAAAAAAAAAAAGACACCACAGAACGCATGTAGTGTGAGCCAGCCCTCAGGCTTTTTCATGCTGTGCGTATAGGTCAGCCTGTTCATTTCAGTGAGGCGATAAACACATCGAGGTAGCTCTTGTATATTTTTACGCTTTTTTTTTAGTGATGCATTTTGATGCTTTTGTTTTTTTACTTATTTCTGCTTCCCCCCCCCCCCCCCCCCAAAAAAAAAAAAACATGCCTGTTATATATGCTTACACTGCTTGCTTTAAAAAATAAATAAAATAAAATAATAATAATAATAATAATAATAATAATAAAAATAAATAAATATATATATATATACATACCGTATTTTTCGCTCCATAAGACGCACCTAGGTTTTAGAGGAGAAAAACAAGAAAAAAAATATTCTGAACCAATGGACTGCAGACACAGTACAGGAGATGACCAGAAACTGCGGACACAGTACAGGAGATGACCAGAGACTGCGGACAGTACAGGAGATGACCAGAGACTGCGGACATAGTACAGGAGATGACCAGAGACTGCAGACATAGTACAGGAGATGACCAGAGACTGCGGACACAGTACAGGAGATGACCAGAGACTGCAGACACAGTACAGGAGATGACCGGAGACTGCGGACATAGTACAGGAGATGACCAGAGACTGCGGACATAGTACAGGAGATGACCAGAGACTGCGGACACAGTACAGGAGATGACCAGAGACTGCAGACACAGTACAGGAGATGACCAGAGACTGCGGACATAGTACAGGAGATGACCAGAGACTGCGGACATAGTACAGGAGATGACCAGAGACTGCGGACATAGTACAGGAGATGATCAGAGACTGCGGACATAGTACAGGAGATGACCAGAGACTGCAGACACAGTACAGGAGATGACCAGAGACTGCGGACACAGTACAGGGGATGACCAGAGACTGCGGACACAGTACAGGGGATGACCAGAGACTGCGGACATACTACAGGAGATGGTCAGAGACTGCAGACATAGTACAGGAGATGATCAGAGACTGCGGACACAGTACAGGGGATGACCAGAGACTGCAGACACAGTACAGGAGATGACCAGAGACTGCGGACAAAGTACAGGAGATGACCAGAGACTGCGGACACAGTACAGGAGATGACCAGAGACTGCGGACACAGTACAGGAGATGACCAGAGACTGCGGACACAGTACAGGGGATGACCAGAGACTGCAGACACAGTACAGGAGATGACCAGAGACTGCGGACATAGTACAGGGGATGACCAGAGACTGCAGACATAGTACAGGAGATGACCAGAGACTGCAGACACAGTACAGGAGATGACCAGAGACTGCGGACACAGTACAGGGGATGACCAGAGACTGCAGACATAGTACAGGAGATGACCAGAGACTGCAGACACAGTACAGGAGATGACCAGAGACTGCGGACATAGTACAGGAGATGATCAGAGACTGCGGACAAAGTACAGGAGATGACCAGAGACTGCGGACACAGTACAGGAGATGACCAGAGACTGCAGACACAGTACAGGAGATGACCGGAGACTGCGGACACAGTACAGGAGATTACCAGAGACTGCGGCCTTTGGGGAGGGAGGGGAACACGGGTACCTGAATTTGACTTCCGCGGAGTTGTCCTTCCTTCTTCCTGTGGCAGCTTCTGTGACAGCCGCGTGCTTACTGCGCATGCGGGAGAAGCGCTGCGCTTTGTGAATGGCCCGGAGCCTTCTGGGACCTGTCATGTGTCCCAGAAGACGCCGGACCATTCACAAAGCGCATCGCTTCTCGTGACATGGTGGCGGCAGAAATACCGGACCGGGCCGCTTTACATTCGCTCCATAAGACGCACTGACATTTTTTTTGGGGGGAAAAAAGTGCGTCTTATGGAGCGAAAAATACGGTATATATTTTTTTATTATTTTTTATAGGGGCAGCACAGTGGCTAAGTGGTTAGCTCTTCCACCTGGCAGTATTCGGGTCGTTGGTTCGAATCCCAAACATGGCACCACTTGCTTGGAGTTTGCATGTTCTCCCTGTGCCTGTGTGGGTTTCCTCCGGGTATTCCAGTTTCCTCCCACACTCCAAAGACATGCTGGTAAGTTAATTGGCTCCTGTCTAAATTGGCCCTAGTATGTGTATGTATGAATGTGAGTTAGGGACCTTAGATTGTACGCTCCTTGAGGGTTAGGGACCTTAGATTGTACGCCCCTTGAGGGTTAGGGCCCTTAGATTGTACGCTCCTTGAGGGTTAGGGCCCTTAGATTGTACGCTCCTTGAGGGTTAGGGCCCTTAGATTGTATGCCCCTTGAGGGTTAGGGACTAATGTGAATGTACAATATATATGTAAAGTGTGTAAATTGACTGCACTATATAAGTACCTGAAATAAAATAATATATATATATATACAGGGGCGGACTGACAACTCATGGGACCCCTGGGCAATAGGGGATCATGGGGCCCCTGTGTCCTCGCCCAAATTTAAAAAAGCCTATGAAAATGGTACCAGGGGCATCTCATGGGGCCCCCTACTGACCCCGGGCCCTTGGGCAGTGCCCGAGTTTCCGAAGTCAGTCCGCCCCTGTGTATATATGAATACTGTATACAGACAATAAATATATAGATAGATTGTATGCATATCTATATTATATTGATTTTGTTTAATGATGTATTTTTGTTAATTTCTGCCTTTTGCTGTAATTTGTGATTATTAATATTAATTTATTGCCGTGCTAACCCCCCCCCCCCTGCCCACCTGTCTCTGCCCCCCCCCCTCCCCCCCAACCAGAGCAATGCTACATATCAGGCTGATAAGACATCTTGCGTCCGGCGTCCAATATCCGAAGGCGTTAATCGGGGCGATGCGAGGACTGTAGCACTGTGTTCCGTACGCCCCAGTTCAAGGTCCGGCTTATCTGCCCTATAAAAGGTGATAAAAGCTGCAGCTCGCCTCCTTCCTATACATCCCGTGTCACAGATTGCAACAACGTGTCTTCCTAATCCTCCTGTGTACTGGTCCCCGTCCAACCTTCGCCGTTTCTCCCCCCCCCCCCCCCCCCCCCCCCCCCCCGCTCCTGTTTTGTAAATGTAGCTTTGCTGTGTTGATACAATAAACTGCCATCGCAGTTCCAATGGAAACAAAACTATTATCCTACAACTCCTTAACCAAATACATAAATACCGCGCCGCGTCCGGACCGGCGAGGATTCGCGAGGGATGACAGGGCGCCGTGGATGAGATTAGCAGACGTATTTATTTTGGGGCTTCGGCCGAATAGATAATTACACCGTTGCAGATTGTCGTGTCAGAATAGAAAGTTGTTTGTAGGTTATTTAGACGTGTTGAGGAACGGTCGCGGTGCCCACCCAATACTACACGTGCCGCAGGCGGCCAAGAAGCATTTAAAGGGTAACTCCACTTTGTGGGGAAAAAAAATTGCAAAAATAATACAGCATATAGAGCTGCTATGTCATATTGTGGGAAGAATGTCCCTTACATTGGGGGTCAGTGGGAAGAATGTCCCTTACATTGGGGATCAGTGGGAAGAATGTCCCTTACATTGGTGGTCAGTGGGAAGAATGTCCCTTACATTGGTGGTCAGTGGGAAGAATGTCCCTTACATTGGTGGTCAGTGGGAAGAATGTCCCTTACATTGGGGGTCACTGGGAAGAATGTCCCTTACATTGGGGGTCAGTGGGAAGAATGTCCCTTACATTGGGGGTCGGTGGGAAGAATGTCCCTTACATTGGGGGTCGGTGGGAAGAATGTCCCTTACATTGGGGGTCAGTGGGAAGAATGTCCCTTACATTGGGGGTCGGTGGGAAGAATGTCCCTTACATTGGTGATCAGTGGGAAGAATGTCCCTTACATTGGGGGGTCAGTGGGAAGGATGTCCCTTACATTGGTGATCAGTGGGAAGAATGTCCCTTACATTGGTGATCAGTGGGAAGAATGTCCCTTACATTGGGGGTCAGTGGAAAGAATGTTCCTTACATTGGGGTTCAGTGGGAAGGATGTCCCTTACATTGGTGGTCAGTGGGAAGAATGTCCCTTACATTGGGGGTCAGTGGGAAGAATGTCCCTTACATTGGTGATCAGTGGGAAGAATGTCCCTTACATTGGTGATCAGTGGGAAGGATGTCCCTTACATTGGGGGTCAGTGGGAAGAATGTCCCTTACATTGGGGGTCAGTGGGAAGAATGTCTCTTACATTGGGGGTCAGTGGGAAGAATGTCCCTTACATTGAGGGTCAGTGGGAAGAATGTCCCTTACATTGGTGGTCAGTGGGAAGAATGTCCCTTACATTGGGGGTCAGTGGGAAGAATGCTCCTTACATTGGTGGTCAGTGGGAAGGATGTCCCTTACATTGGGGGTCAGTGGGAAGAATGTCCCTTACATTGGTGGTCAGTGGGAAGAATGTCCCTTACATTGGTGTGTCCAGGTACTGATTGAAAAGCTACAGGTTAGTACAGGGGTCTCCAAACTTTATAAGCCAGTTTACTGTCCTTCAGACTTTACGGGGGCTTGACTGTGGCCAGTGTGAGAAGAAAATGTCCTGGCATCAGTGGGAGTAAACAATGTCTCATCATAGATATTAATGGGAGATATAGTGCCTCATCACTGGTATCCCATTGTTGGTATCAGTGGAAGTAATAGTGCTCCATCATTGGTATCAGTGGGAGGAATAGTGCCCCATCATTGGTGTCAGTGGGAGGAATAGTGCCCCATCATTGGTGTCAGTGGAAGGAATAGTGCCCCATCATTGGTGTCAGTGGAAAGAATAATGCCCCATCATTGGTGTCAGTGGAAGGAATAGTGCCTCATTGTTGGTGTCAGTGGCGGGAGCTATGCCCCACTGTTGATGATGGTGGGGGGGGATAGTGCCCCATTGTGGGTGCCAGTGAGAGGAATAGTGCCCCATCATTGGTATCAGTGAGAGGAATAGTGCCCCATCATTGGTGTCGGTGGAAGGAATAATGCCCCATTATTGGTGTCAGTGGCAGGAATAGTGCCCCATCATTGGTGTCAGTGGAAGGAATAATGCCCCATCATTGGTGTCAGTGGGAGGAATAGTGCTCCATCATTGGTATCAGTGAGAGGAATAGTGCCCCATCATTGGTGTCGGTGGAAGGAATAATGCCCCATTATTGGTGTCAGTGGCAGGAATAGTGCCCCATCATTGGTGTCAGTGGAAGGAATAATGCCCCATCATTGGTGTCAGTGGGAGGAATAGTGCCCCATCATTGGTGTCAGTGGAAAGAATAATGCCCCATCATTGGTGTCAGTGAGAGGAATAGTGCCTCATTGTTGGTGTCAGTGGCGGGAGCTATGCCCCACTGTTGATGATGGTGGGGGGGGATAGTGCCCCATTGTGGGTGCCAGTGAGAGGAATAGTGCCCCATCATTGGTATCAGTGAGAGGAATAGTGCCCCATCATTGGTGTCGGTGGAAGGAATAATGCCCCATTATTGGTGTCAGTGGCAGGAATAGTGCCCCATCATTGGTGTCAGTGGAAGGAATAGTGCCCATCATTGGTGTCAGTGGGAGGAATAGTGCCCCATCATTGGTGTCAGTGGGAGGAATAGTGCCCCATCATTGGTGTCAGTGGAAGGAATAATGCCCCCATCATTGGTGTCAGTGGGAGGAATAGTGCTCCATCATTGGTATCAGTGAGAGGAATAGTGCCCCATCATTGGTGTCGGTGGAAGGAATAATGCCCCATTATTGGTGTCAGTGGGAGGAATAGTGCCCCATCATTGGTGTCAGTGGGAGGAATAGTGTCCCATCATTGGTATCAGTGGGAGGAATAGTTCCCCATCATTGGTGTCAGTGGAAAGAATAAAGCCTCATTGTTGGTGTCAGTGGAAGGAGCTATGCTCCACTGTTGATGATGGTGGGGGGGATAATGCCCCAAGGGCCAGATAAAAGCAAACAAAGGGCCGCAGTTTGGAGACCACTGGGTTGGTGAATCAGCATTGACAATGTTCATAGCCACACCCCCTGCAATATCGTCTCCTCCCACTAAAGTGCAAGCTACATTAGGGTGACAATTCTGCCCTGAATTCAGAAGCAGTGCAGCATTGTTGTCACCTCATCACAGGAAGATGGTGGACTTCACTAGCAGGAGCAATAGGTATTTTAGAACTTTGCGGAAGGATGAGGAAAACAAAGGTTTGCATTTTTTTCTGCTCAAATCTAAAAGTTGGCTTTCCTTCCACCTTAGATATACAACCACTGAAAATAATTTTTTTCTCTTTAAGAACACCCCCCCCCCCCCCTTCAGGCTCCATTTTTAATGCTGAATTACAAGCGCGCTGGAACCGTCATCATCTGCCTTCTGACACCCTGGAGTCCCGTCATGTTAATATGGAAATGGGAGGATTGTTTGAGGGTAATGGGGTGTAAATGGAAAATTCCGGACAGTAATAAGCCCTATTCAAGTTGCTCCATGCAGAACATTTTGATATTATTTCAGCAGAGGGGATGAAAGTGAATTTCTGAGGTTCCTTTCCTGCTCTTATCCTCTTATCATGGATGAACTTTGTGTTTGAAGTGAGATCCTAATGTAAAGGTCACCAAGAATACGATACCTACACTTTGGAGTTTAACACTTTTTAACACTGTTTGCCTGAACTAGTTGACTGTCTTCTCGGCTCTATGTCGGGAACGTCGTGCCAGCCGTCGGGTTCATAGGTATGCACACCGTCAGGCCAATGTGCGTGCGCTTAAGCTCGTGCACAGGTAGACTTGGGCATGTCCACCACCACCCAGGGGGACTATTTAAACCTGAACTCTGCACAAGCTCCTTGTTGAGTGGTCTTCAGTCTTGTTCCTGATCCGGTTAATGACCCAGTTTCTACCTGACCTGCTTCTGGATTACCCTTGTCTGCTTATGTTCGCTGTCCCTGAACTCAGCGGCCAGACTCCTCCACCTCACCAACCGCTCCACCACTGCCACCCCCCTCTGCCTATCCCTCCACTGGCTCCCGATTGCCCAACGCATCAAATTCAAACTACTAACCCTGACCTACAAAGCCATTCACAACACAGAAATGCCCGCAGCGATAAAAGAAGAAAAAAAAATAGCGAAGGGCAGGCATGACTAGGCCCAGAGTGGGAAGGAAGACGTGTGAGGGGTTAATGATTGTTTAGAGTTGGTAAAGGATAGCTGGGGGATCTGGTTGGTAGAGGAGAGTGTAGGTGGGGTCTCCTGCACTTTAGGGTGGGGTGTTCTGGGGAGGGGCATCAGTTGGGAGCTGGACGTGGGAGAGAGAGCTTCCCTCCCGCCCGCCCTGTTGGTGAATGTTGTGTTCCTCCTGGGGGGGGGGGGGGGGGTTAATTTGGTTCCTGGGCGGTGGTTGGTCTTTGGAGGCGGTTCTTATCTTGGAGGTACAAAATGGTGTGGGACCCATCGTTGGTATGGTGTGCCCGGGAACATTCCCAGTTAACCGAGGTTTAACTGGAAGGTGGTGGTGCTGCACTGCGGACGGTATGGTTGTCTCCGAGCTGGTTGGTCGCGGCTGGAGGCCTTTGTGTAATATGGTTGTCCGCAGGTGCATTTCGGATCATTTGGGGGGCCTTCAAAGACCAACGACAACTCTTTATGTTTTCTGTTATAAGGAATGGTTGATGTGTTTAAACTTGATTTGTTAATAAAAGGCCGTGTTGGCCATTTTACTCCAAAATTGGTGTTGTGTTTTCTGTAAGTATAGTAAGTAAAGGGGATTGGTATGGAAGGGTAAAGGGTAATGGTGGTGTAGTGGGGTCTGGATGAACCTATCTCGGGTGCACTAGTCATGCCCCTAACTACCTCACTGACCTGATTATCAAGTACCACCCTACCCATTCCCTTCGCTCCTCCCAGGACCTCCTATCTTGCACTCTGGTCTCCTCCTCCCACGCATGACTGCAAGACTTCTCCAGGTCCTCCCCCATCCTCTGGAACTCACTGCCCCAATCCATCAGACTGTCACCTTCCCTCCTCACCTTCAGGCGCTCCTTGAAAACCCATCTCTTCAGGGAAGCCTACCCCACCCTCACCTAACAGCCATTCTCCTTCATTCCTCCTACCACTCCATCCCCCACAGCCACTTCCTCCTGTACCACTACCCCCTCCCTCCTAGATTGTAAGCTCCAAAGAGTAGGGCCCTCTAACCCCTCGTGTACCGTTGTTGTTGCTGTTCTGTTTCTTGTATTGTCCCCCCCTCTATTGTACAGCGCTGAGTAAACCCTTTGGCGCTATATAAACTCGATGTAATAATAATAATAATAATAATGTCCATTCTCAGCCATGACCTGGACATCTGACCAGTGCATTTGGACTTCACCACCTGCTCGTTGCCTGCTCCTGACTCTGATCTTGCCTACAACTTGGTCTCTTTCTGCTCGGCCATCTCTAGACTAGGCTTGGAACCCAACTGCGCCTCTAACTCAACTCGGAGCATCCAAGGTGCACTGCCAGCTGATACCAGCACTCTCAAATCCCAGCCCACAGTGTTGGCACCCTGGCACTCGCCCCTCTCATTCACCCCTGTAGACCCTCTCTTAATTTCCAGGGGTGCTCAGACGGGAACTGTGCAAGAGGCCACCCTCATCACCTCGGGTTCAGCATATTTGACCCTTGCCCTTGTCATTCCATGTTATATCCTATTTTCTGGGCAGCCATACTGGATCTGTATAGGTTGCAAAGAGTAGAAATGAGCCCCCGTTTCAGTTCAAACTTTGGTTGTTCGGACGTTCGTCCAAATGCTTGATTTTCAGCTCTAAGGCAGGACCCGAACTTCATATATAGTAGTGGGTTTTCCGCCTTCTACTATGTATGATGGCCAGGGGCGGACTGACAACTCATGGGGCCCCTGGGCAATAGGGGATCATGGGGCCCCTGTATCCTTGTCCAAACTCAAAAAAGCCTATGAAAAAGGTACCAGGGGCATCTCATGGGGCCCCCTACTGACCCCGGGCCCTCGGGCAGTGCCCGAGTTTCCAAATGGTCAGTCTGCCCCTGATGATGGCTTCCTTCTAGTTAGCCGCTGCAATTGTTGGTACAACAGAGGCGACTCTACAAAACGGTACTGGGGTGATGCCTACAGCTGCAGGCATCCCTCCGGTATAACCACTGACACTCCATCGATGTATGGTCCGGAAGTGGTTAAGGATTGTGTTTTTATTGACCTTTTTTGTGAATGAGTAGGGGTACTATGTACCCCTTAATGATTCATATGGAGGTTGGCAAAATCTTGATGCACCAGGCTTGCAGATTCCGACAAGCCTACCTCGTCCGCAGACCCCCACAAACACCAGCCACGGTTGT